TTTTAATATAAATTATTTTTATATCAAAAGTTAATTAATGTAAATTTAATTCTTGGATAAGAAATAAAGTACTGTCAACTATTAAATTTACATAAAACTTAAAATTATATTTCGTGTGAAAAACAAAATAATTTTTTTTAAATTGAAATAATTTAAAACATAAAATTTCTGTAAAAGTTTTTTTTTTTCTTATTTTTGTGTTTAAAAAATGCTAGAAAACTTTGCAATTATTTTATTTCGCAATTAATTTATTTTTGAGAAATAAAATAAGTTAGAAATAAGTTGATGGACTCTATATTTATACATTTTGATTCTATGTTTAAACGTTACATCTTCGCTATCATAAAGACTTTTCCTACCGTATTGAGGCAACAGAAGAAAAACACATTGTTTCGTATTAACAACGGTATGCTTTGCAGAAAGTTGATCTGTCACAATTTTGTCGTTCATGTTAAAAATTGTCTCTCGTGTGTACAAAATACATGAAGTTTACGTTTAAAACATTATAACTGATAATTAAATTCATTCTAAAATTCTTAATCCATACTAAATGAACACATTCTATTCGTTTAGAAACTCGATACATCTCTCTACACATTCTTTTAATAACTCTTTATTATGATCAGCACATTTAGCAAAAACACATGATTTATAATGTGCAAACTTTTAATATTCGGTTATTTGATAAACAATCAAAATTTAGAATAATTCGTTTCCCTTATAATGAAGTTGACTGGAACATTTTAAAAATTTCATTAGATATAAATTAACTTTATATTATTTAAAATAGATATTACATTTGTAAATATTATTTGAAAAATGAAGAAATATATCTGGAAATGAATTTTTCATACCTGTTTAATGCAGACACATATTCTTGATCGTTCGTAGTCTGAGAATGTAGAGAAACTCCTACTGCTAAGTCTACATAGAAATAAATTGATATTTTTTTTTTTAAATAAATATACTTCGTTTTAATATGATATTCAGTATCGAAAAGGCATCGCAAAACAAAGTAGATTCACTAAAAGATGACAGTACTAAAACAAACAAAAAAGTAATCAGAGGCCGTATTATGGTCAAATCGACGAATGACGTCGAAGAGAGAGACGAAATTCGTCTCTCATACACATTGGCGATTCTAGTGGTTCGTAACGATCTCGTATTTATTGTTGACGTCACGATTCTATTCGGTTGATTGTTCGGGTTATCTGCGCGCGTAATACGGTATAGGATTTTAACCAATGAAATTGTAAAATTTTCGAAAATGCGGAGTACGTAATCATAGATCGTACTCCGCATTCACCTGGCAAGAAAAGCATGTGCTCAAATAAAGCACGTAATTTCGACCAACTTGTTTTTTGTTTTATAACGTTTTTACAGATTGTAATGTCAATTTGTCTTTTAACAAATACAAATTTTAATAACCTAAGTTAGAAAAGCGTGCATACTTGGATATTTTTCGAAATATTACCATCTAATTTCTCCTTAACTATCCAAGTGAAATTAAC